ACGAGCAATTAATTTTTTAGAGATAATGAGAGGATTTCCAATGCACCATTACTTTTGTAATGGTTAATATGATTTTTTTTACATAACTTATTACAAAAGTACCTAACGGTTAATGGAAAATATTTTTATTACTCATTATAGTAATCATTAATGTAAGCCGAGGGGTGGTGAAAAATGGCATACACACCAAGGGATGAAATTAGCATACGAACTGGGATATCTGTTACTTTTCCTATCTAGGTAATGGTAATAATATTTTACCAGGGAGCTCAAGACATCTTGGAATATATGGAATTTAAAATGTACAACGGTGTGGCCCATACGAAAAAGCTTACTGCGTCCCTGGTTTAATTATATTATATTATAAGGATAACTAATTAGGTACCTATAATAAGATATTCCTCCTAATAACAGGATAGACCATGAAAAAATTATTCCTGTGTGGTTTTACATGTAGACATTTGAATATCCTACCTAATATTATAAATGCAAATGTGAATTTGTTTATTACCATTACTCGACCGATAATCATGAAATTTTTTACACACATTATCAGGGGTATACAGAAAAGAAAAGGGTACCTTTTATCCAAACAAAATATACTGTTCCCGAAAGATAGAAAAATTAATTTTCATCGCCGATAAAGAAACAATATTTAGTGTCATTCTACACAAACTGAACCTTCAAAGTTAAAAACTTTAGTTTTATCCTAATGATTCTGGTCAAGATTATTTATCAAATTGTTGTATTTTCGATGATCTTTGGCAAGTACCTACTTAGGACATCAACGCGAACGAAGCGTAGGGTAAAAGCTTGTATTGTACAAATTCAAAGGAGTTTGCTACTCTAGTCTATTTTTTCTACAAAACAACAACAAATTTTATCAACACGATAAAGATGATTTGACCATAAGTTGCATGTATACACATAAACAAATATGTGCTTCATTCAGATACACTGATAAATAATAAACCCAGACTACATACACTTGTTTTTAAATGCATGCGGTTTTTAATACTTTGTTATTAAAAAATTACCAAAACTTTATAAACACATTAATTTTGTGTATAACTGAAAACAGCAATTAATTCATCTTATTCAAAAAGATATTTCTAAAAGAATATTTTTTACAACGTACCCGTACAAACAACTGCTATGCCTACAGAATTTTTTGTTTGCTGGACGTTCGTCACCCCACAGCCTCTTTTAGAAACGATTAGTATACAAATTTGCAACATCTTCGTCAGTTAGAGATTAAAAGTTTACAAAGTCAAACAAAACTCCAACCCTTCATTGTGCTTGTAGTAATTTTATGAATAGATACATGAAACATTATTATGCGAAAAAAATCGACGAAGTAATAACAGACGATAAAGTAGAATAAAACATCTGGGTCAAACAACTACATAACATAAGTCTTGCCCATTAAGTCTGCAAAACAAGTGTCTCCTTATATGTTTCATTGACATAATGAACCCGAGAATAAACTCTGAGCATATTAGTACTTAAGAGAGATGTCAGTAAGAGCGTGGAAAAATTTTGATGCATGCAAGGAATAGATAATTACGTCTATTTAAAATTTTTCTAATTAAGCGATCGTATTGCAGTAAAATAAATACCTAAACCTAAACTATTCCAGTACCTAAATATACAAAAATTCGCCTATTGATTTCATATATGTACTGTATCTACCTATAATGTGTATGACTCTAGCTAATAATTTTATTCAACCCCCGTATCTACATATATGAGCAATCTGTGGCTAATCTATAGTGAAAAAATTAATTTTTTGATCTGTAGATCGCGAGAAAGCGTATGATCTGCTGGAGTGATATTAATATGCAAATAGATCACAACATATTCATTTCAGTAGAACACGGGCTCTAATATTCAACATATTTTGTATCTAATTCATACCAAAAAAACTAATTTTGTAGAGTCTCTTTATCTTTATGTGCTGCTAGCTCGATATCATGTAAAACGACTCTGTAATCTTCTAGCATGGTATCAAGCTAACAGCACATCATCCGATTTCAATCACGTTACAAAATTAATTGTTTCACCACAAATTAACTACAAAATATTAGATATAAAAATTAGTCGAACATCGGCTGAAATGAATATGTGATATTAAGCTAACATATCGTCCGTTTTCTAGATTTTCAGTTTCTACAATATTAATTTTTTCACTACAAATTTACTGTAAATTACTGATGTTTAAATGTGGGACTTGAATAAGTGATCTGCTTGTGTGATACACATTATTATAATATACATATATCAACAGCAATAACAGATTAAATGGCATTAGACATTTGAAATCATAAAAATTATTATCATTCACGATAACAGTAATAACCTAATAACACTAGCACCCACTAACGAAGTTAGATTAATATAGGTAATTCAAATATTATAACCATAAAAAACAATTGTTTAAAATAATTAAGTATTAGGCACAACTTTAACAATTAAGTCAGCACTTAATATACTTTCTTTTTCATTGCTTTTCTACATTCCTAAAAATTATCTGTATTCGTTAAAATAGGGTAAAACTTGTCATGTTATTGTTATTATTGATTCAGAGGTGAATTAAAATGTTATTTGTTAAAGTATCTTTAA